CTAACTCCGTACCATTACTACTTCCACACCCACATGTATAATTTGTGGGACATTTAAGAGGATCGCGCGGTACACTACTGTTGAGAATCACTGCCTTAACGTAATCCTCTACCTCAAGTGGCTCCCGGGCCTTGTCCAGGGTGAAATTTACTGTAACCACCCCCCGCAAAAAAGAAACAAGTGTAATTTTCTATCATTCAAACCGAAAATTAGGATTCGTTTTCTTGTGAAAGAAGAAAAGGAAATATGACAGTTGTTATTTCTGATTGCCAAAGAGTTTGAAATGGGAAGATAAAAAAAACGAGAAGACGAAAAACAAAAAAATATCTATAACTGCTGAATATCGAAAAAATCGGCACATTGAAAAAAAAACAACAACAATTTTTGCCTAGTGGATATCAATGCTATAAACCTGGTTTGGTTTGGTTTATTTTGTTTTACAGCATATCAACACATCAATGGGTTATTTAATACTGACAAGATTTTTACAATAGATTTGTATGAATAGAATATGTATTCTTTGTAAGTAAATCAGTTTGAAAGTCAGAGTTTTGGATTATTTTGTTTCACGGCATATCAACACATCAATGGGTTATTTAATGCCGACATGATTTTTACAATAGATTTGGATGAATAGAATATGTATTCTTTGTAAGAAATCAGTTTGTAAATCAGGTTTCATTGAGGATTTTTCATTTGAGGAAAGCAGTGCCTAACATACTTAATGGTCTTGAAGAAATGGATGTTAGAAGAGGGTTTGCGAGAAATAGACAAAAGATTACATTTATTAAGAGAAGCAAGGGACTGGAAGGTGTGGAGGGCCATGAACGCCTACATCCTGAATGGACACGGTACATAAAGAAAAAGGATACCCCTTTTCTTCTTTGTGACCCATTTTTGGTGTCAAAAATATTTCAGGCTCACATAAATACAAATAGAAATTCCATGTCATAGAAAATACAGTTTATTTAGAAAAGTTGAAAGTAGTGGAAAATATAAATCTCTATCTATAAAAGGCAGGATGTGTGTGTGTGTGCGTAATGAATGCACGGCCGCAATTTTCGACGGATTTGCACCAAAATTTACATGCACATGCTCCAAGTTAGTGTGAAGGCCAAGACCGACTTTGCATTTCCTAACTCCCATCGATAGTGGAAATAATCGATTTTTCATGCTTCTACGGCAGTTTTCATGTAGTTTGCGGCCATTTTCTACTGGCCAGAGTGAGAGTCTATTGCTGGCTGCCACGAATAGGCAGAAAGATTCTATTGGCCAGCGTGAGAGCCAACAGCTGACTGACACGAAGGTTAACTAGCATGCTAGCATGCAAAAAAAAAATCGATAGCTGCATTCGTCACAAGTAGGAAAAATTTAAATCTGCATGGCACTTTACTCCAATTGGCTCATTCGCTTGCTTAAACTCAACGTTGATTCTGATTCCGCAGAACTGGGTTGGGTGTGAAAAAGTATTTGTTGTTAACATTTTTTCATTCGGTTTTTCCAGTTACGAGTCCTTTTTTTTTCTGATCGTTTTGTGTTCATTTTGTTTCGTTCTTTTTTTTTAACAGATTTAATGTTTAGTATAGAGCTTAGAAAAAATTCGCAGTGTGAGGCAAGAAGTAAGGAATGTAGCAACATCAGCACGGCAAAGGGCACTCCTTTAAAGGCAAGGAAGGGCAAAAATATTTTAAGTTAAGTGATAGCGATTGCTGTATGAGTCGTACGATTTTTGAATCAGGCAACGCCGTGCCATGCTGCTAGTCCTGACTAAAACAATTGAAGGAAGAATATTTAAATTCGATTTTAACTATATTAGTCGATGAAATTTTAAAAAGATATTGCCTGTCAATAAAAATCATTAAATAAATTATAACTAATGGGACAAATGTGTATTAACAATGATGATACGCAACAAAAAAAGTAAGATAACATTTTTGTTAATTCTGTCATATTGTATTTCACATCAAATGCTGCTTCCAATTAAATTCATAATATATTAAATGATCACGAAGTCTTTCTAACAACGCTCAATAAAACAAAACAAAAATAATGTTTCAAATGAATTTGAAAATATAATCTTATAGATAAAGTACAGTGTTTGTATATGTGTTTGTGCGAGCGTGTATGTTAAAGCAGCTCCTCCGCTTTCACCGCTTTAAATGATTCATAGCTCATTCAAAAGACCTTGAAATGTTAGGCGCAGGGAATGATTTTCGTTGAGCTTAGATTCAGGGTTGCCAGATTATGCGAGGTTAAAAATATATATATTAATATACTATACTAGCCATTATCGTTGCTTTCATGGTCCAAGGAGAGTAACGCTTATTTTTCTTTTGTATCCAAAATTGCAACTAGCTTAAAATTTTAAGTTAGTTCCTGTGGAGGACTCTTGGTTTGGTCATCATCACAATAGCTTAAGAGGAGTAGATGCGATAGGCATTAATAAACTACAGAAGAACTCAAAATTGATCGCTGCATTTAAATATTGAATTAATGTTTAAGCTTACCTTTTAAAAGTTCAAAGATAATTCTGCTTTCACTTACTTTAAAGACGATTTGATGTACGTAGGACTTTACTTTTTATTTCATGGGTGACAGAACAGGGGACAATTTATAAGATAAAACTAATATAGTGTAAAGATGGGAAACTAGAAATTAGATTTAGTTATACATTCAACATTTGAAGAGTTAGAGAAACATAATAGCTAATTAAGTAAAACCAATATTATGGAATCTATATGAATAAATGCAAAAGTGGAGCTCAATTCTTCCACGAATTCTGAGATTAAAAAGCCACAGCTCTATTTTATAGTATATAAAAATAGTTCTGTTTAGGAATATCGTCTTATATAGTGCAAAAAGATCTTTGAAATTTGCATTTTACTTGGCTTTCAACAAGTTAGCATCTATTTGTAAAACTTTCCTTAACTATAACAAGCCAGTTTATGAATGGAATGTTCATTTACAATTTTTGTTTCAAAGATTTCTAGTAGTAAATATATCTTAGTTTGCTAAGCGACATCGAGCGGGCGAAACCTGCTGGTTTATTATAAAAAGAAAACATCGTAAGTTTTAATTATATAATTTCTGAGTCATTTGTCTTTTAAAAAAAAGGAAAGTTGCTTGTGTTTTTATAATTTTACGCCATTGAAAAAAAAAAAAAATTAAAGCTCACCTATTTTTCTTGGGACAGTTGCAGAGATGTTTTACAAAATTTCTCAGGCCCAACTGTGGGCCCACGCGCCAACGTTGAGAATCACTTCTAGACACGACATAGATTCATTACAGTCGCAATAAATTCCAGTAGAATTGATTAAAAAGCAAATATTTTAATGCTTTTGCATCTCTTCAAATATTCATCTCGTATATTGAAGGTGAGTTATTAATACGTCTAAAGTACATGATAATTTTGCAGTTACTCTACATTTTATACGCAATACACATAAAAAATCTGGTACCCCCACCCATCTGGGGTAAGGAATGATTTCTTAATGTTAACGCCTCTAAAACAAAACTGTTAATCATGTGAAAAAGACCTTTCATAGCTGATGCTAAACTCTGAGAGAATGACGCGTTGCACCTTTTTGGGTGAACTTTCTCTGCTAACATGACGTAGAAAGATTATATTGAATCAATTACTGGTTTCGCTACAAGGAAATTTGGTTCAGTGTATTGTGTTAGTCAATTTTTCTCTCCAGGATGTATGTTACATATTTATAAATCTACTATTCGTTTTTGCTTTGAATACTGCCGCCAAATCTAGTCTGGTGCTCCTGCTATATATTCAGAGATTCTTCATAAAATCCCAAAGAAAAATCTGCAATGTTATTGGACCTGACCTGACATCCAGGCTTCAGTCACTTTCCTACCGCCGAACCATAGCTTCTATGTGCCTTTTCTATAAATACTTTCATGGTAATTGATCTGATAAACTTTGCTCTATGTTACCTAGACAATCAGTTAAGTGCCATCCATGTTACAAACTTGGTTGATCCTGTCTTATTCGATCCATGACTGACTAGGCAGAATATTTTCCCGCTCTAGGTTGTCATTTCTTTCTGCTGTAGTCTGGTTGCCAACCAAGGCTATAGAAGCCAATCTGTCCTGCTATTCAACCCATCGTTGGGTAATTGCGCGTAAGTGAATCTTCAAAATTCGAATGGAATTCAAACTTAGCTCTCGGATTTCTGCACAAAATTATTTGTTTATTTGTTTACCACTCACGTTTAAAGCCGAAACATTGACCCCAATCAACATTACTCTTGTTTTTTCTTTGGCTGATGACAATGAACTCGATGTAATTTCAATCAAAGTATCGAAAGTACTCATCGACTGCTTTTCGCTTACAAACAAGGCCTTTCGACAAAAACCATTAGCATAAATAAAACGAAAGCCTATTCTGAAAACGATTAGTGTGGGAGGGGCTAAACGAAAAGCAACCTGCTTACAGATTCCTTAGCAACCTGAAGTATGTAAAATAATTCACCTAATTAAGAATAATCTGTATATAATGGCAGAATCAACTGAATTTCCAATTCAATCGAACCCATTGGGATGCTTTACCGTCGCCTTTAACAATTATATGGATTAGAATGATAGACCCCATATCGGACCTATATTAATCATCTCGAGGTAAATACTGTGTTCATCAGATCAGTAGATACGTCTTGCAGGACGAAATTCCTAATTAAGATCAGTCAGGAGTACGAAAACATGTTTAATGCTTTACAACCTAAATGACCTTTGGTTATATTATCAAAATGAGTAATGTCAGAATCGGTAAACGTTTTATATACAGCCAGCTTCTTTATACAGCCATCTTCTTATGCAGCCACCTACCTTATACAGCCAACTTCTTTATATAGCCACCTTCTTTAAACAGCCAGCTCCTTTATATAGCCACCTTCTTTATACAGACAACTTCTTTATATAGCCAGCCTCTTTATACAGCCAGCTTCTTTATACAATCACTTTTTTTATATAGCCATCTTCTTATACAGCCACCTTCTTTATACATCCAACTTCTTTATATAGCCACCTTCTTTATACAACCAGCTTCTTTATACAGCCAGCTTCTTTATACATCCACATTCTTTATATAGCCAGCTTTTTATACAGCCACCTTCTTTATACAGCCACTTTTTTTATACAGCCATCTTCTTTATATAGTAAGCTTCTTATACACCCACCTTCCTTATACAGCCAACTTCTTTATATAACCACCTTCTTTATACAGCCAGCTTCTTATACAGCCATTTTCTTTATACAGCCAAATTCTTTATACAGCCACCTTCTTTATACAGCCAGCTTCTTATACAGCGACCTTCTTTATACAGCCAAATTCTTTATACAGCCACCTTCTTTATACAGCCATTTTTATACAGACAGCTTCTTATACAGCCACCTTCTTTATACTGCCAACTTCTTTATATAGCCACTTTCTTTATACAACCATTTTCTTTATACAGTCTGTTTTATACAGCCAGTTTCATCCTTGTGAAGGTAATGGGAGTAAATCCTCAAAATCAAGCTTAGAGACAATTCAAAATCTATCAATAAACCTCCGAGATCTCTTGAAATAATTGCAACGGATGAACCCTGGAGGAACGAATACCTTCCATCGGGGAGTTTTAAAATTTCACCACAGTCATTTCAGAGAATTAAAACTCAAGAATAAACCTATCGAATGTAAGGAGTGCAAGTAAATATTATGAGAATATGGTGGATAGATAACGACATGCTTTAGTATTCAAGAGGTTAAGATTAGAGTGTACGGGAAAATATCCACTTGGGAGCCCGTCCCACAATCTAGTGGTTCTTGGGTAAAAGCTCTCGGAGTGGAACTTCTATGTTTCCAAAAGAATACGTAAGAATTGAGGGCGACTCGAAACTGTAGACATAGCGATGTCTTGGCTATAAATATCTGAGCTGGTGACTATAAAGAAATGGATCCTTCCTATCTATCTATCTATCTATCTATCTTTATCTGTTCATATCTATGTATGTCTGTTCATATCTATCTATCTATCTATCTATCTATCTATCTATATCAATATTTTCATATCGCTCCACCTGAATGGGATCACACACACACACACACACACACACATATATATATATATATATATATGTGTATATGTACACACACAGACATATATCTGTAGTTAAAATAGATACAATTTGAAAATTTCAAAATAACTATAATAAAATAGAATAAGGTTTGAGAGAAGTAACAAAAATACAAAACTTATTAAGAGCTACAATAGACAGGAAGATGTGGATGGCCATTATCGCCTGCATCCTGAAGGGACAAGGCACATAAAAGAAGAAATAAGAAGGTTACATTTGCAAATAGGTCTCAGCGTTTTACTGTTTTACAGTCCCATTCTAATATTTTAGGTAATTCCTATCTATTTTGGTATACGTAAGGTTTAAAATGAGTTTTTAAAAATGAAAAACCTTTTTTGAGGCTTTCATTTGGACTTTAATTGAAAGCTAAAGGATTTAAAATTTACTATTTCCAGTAAGCAATATACTCTGTAGTGTATTTCACACGCAAACTATATTAATCGGAATTGATTTTTTTCAGTAAAATCGACAAAAATCAGCCATTTTTCATACACTAGTTAGATTAAAATAAGCTTTACAATATATGATTAGTAAATATAGTTTTACTTAATAACAATATTTCCTAAGAATTATCACATTAAAAATGAATTTTAAAAGATTTAAAAACCTTATAAATTATTCAATTTAATATTGTAAGAAAATGGAAACAAATCTTGTAAAAGTTCATTTTTCGTCGAAATTTTTTTTCTTCAGACAATATTGTATTTAATATATATTATTCTTAAAAGTAACTGAAAGTTTCTCTAATTAAATAATGTTTTAGTTTTATTTCATTTTTTTATATTTCGATTCTGAACAAATTTTCAGTAAGACCGGATCCGATTTTGCAAAAACAATTTGGTGATTTAAATTCTTAAAAAAAATCTGCTTTATTTAATATAGTCATTGAAATTATCACTTTGAATTTATCAGGTTTTCATAAAATTAAACAAGGGACTGAACACATGTAATATATATATATATATATATATATATATATATATATATATATACCAAGATTTTCTAATAAGAAAAATTTCAAAGTAATTTTTGCAAGAATTTCCAAATTAATTTTTCTGTCATCTCAAAATGAGGCTAAAATTCGTTATACTAAAAGTTAGTAGAACCGTTAACGCAAGAGAAACAAGTCCTTTAATTAAAATTTTGAATGTTCTAAAAAGGAGTTAAAAATCTGATTAAATAATCAAAAAATACTTTGATTCTTCCTCTTAATAATAACATAAAGATTTTGACAGTTTTCATTACGTTAGGAGCAGGTTTTACTCAAGGTAATATTCATTTTTTAGTGTTTTCGTGGAAGTAACTAATATTACTTTCTTTTTTCAGCTTTCGTTAAAAATCTCTTCCAGTTTCCGTCTTTAAATTCAACGTCTATCGCCATCTTCTGGTTTTCTGGATTCCATTCTTTTATTGTCCTTTCACCTCGCTAACGTCTTCCCATTCTCTTTCACTCCCAGTAATGCCTTGCGTCTTAGTGACATTATCGCCATCTTCTGTCTTCCTGAAACCTGTTCTTTTATTGTCCTTTCTACTCACTAAAGTCTTCTCATTCGCTTTCACACCCAGTCTTTGTGGTATGCCTGGGGTAAAACGATTACAAAAATCTAAATAATAATAACTCCCTGTCCCAGATATTTGGACTGAAAATCTATCTATATCTCAGTCTACTCATATCAAATGATATACTAAATTATGTAAGATATTGATTTTATAGCGATCGATTAATTATCGATTAATATTTTAATAATATATTTATGGATTATTTTTTATGAAGTATAGTTAATGAGGAGAAAATCTATTTTCGTTTTGCTCTAAATTTTCGAATTGAATAAAAGAAAGTTTTCGGCGAATTATTGTAAGAAATTTGACTTTTTCTCTTCAAGAGTTTTTTTTTCTCTGACAATTGAACTTATTGATGACTCTATAATAATAGCTTTATTTACCAAATAATGAAAGCCACATCACTTGAACAGTTTCCAAAGTAGCAACAGCGGAAACGTACCTAGAAGAGAAATCAATGATGCACAGAAGCTGTTAATTTTCGACATTACCAAAAGCAAACGTTTTAGAAGGCTGATGCTAACCTCCAGGGGAGTGGCTCATCAAGCCTTCACGAAATAACGTTTGCCGCTGATATGAAGTAGAAAGATGATATTGAATCTATTGCTAGGTCTGCAGCTAGGAAAGATTGGTTCACTCTGTCGATCTAGATAATTTTTCGCCAAAATCTATCTTACATATTTATAAGACTACCATTTTCGTCCATGATTTGAATATTCTTGTCATATCTGGTTTGGTACTCCTGTTATATATTTAGAGATTCTTGATAAAGTCCACAAAAGAATCTGCAATGTTATTGATCCTGATCTGGGATCTCGGTTTCAGTTACTTTCTGACCACCGTAATGTAGTTTCCCTGTGTCTTTTCTATAAATACTTTCATGGTAATTGTTCTGATAAACTTTCCTCGATGCTACCTAGATGGCAAGAATTTAAGCACAGAACTAAATTGACAACACGGTTTCATCAATATCATTGTTGAATTGCCTTGGTGTAAGTTCAATACTAACATCTTCTTTTCATGCAATTCCAACGATTGGCGAGGTGGTGGCTATCGGCGCTGATATTGAAATCGGTGTGAAGGGGTCAAATTCTGGCCGTTCACTTCGCACGAGTACCCTTAGAAAAGGCATGAATCCAAATATATAGGCAAAATAGCAGGGTAGATTGGGTTCTCTTGCGTCAGTCTCAGAGAAAAGGAAATGTCTAAACGTTTTTATTAATAGGGGCGATTCGGCAATCGCAAAGCTCAAGAGATACCCAGAGGTCCAACGTCCCTAATTATCCGTAAGGTTCTAAATTCACAGCTTTCATTTTCTTCTGGACTGACTAACATCTGATGAACTTTCCTCTATGGTACATAGGTTTTATGAATTTAACCGCAGTACTAGATTGGCGGAAAGGTCTCATCATTTAATGCTTGAAATGGCTAGATATAAATATAAGTTCTATGCTAACAGTTTCTTCTCTCGTACTTCCCACTTTCTTCAAAATATTCAAAGCAAGGACGAATTTTATAACACTTCATATCAAATCCCACTACGAGTGCTATTCATAATCTACCCAATGTCAATTTGGGCGGGTGGGTAACGATAGTTAATACTTTTGATCTTTTTAAAAATGGGCTGCCGCCATCGGCAAATATAGGTTGGTGGTAGAGTGAAGTAATGGATAATGTCGTATTTTCAACAAGTTAAAAGCATTATGAAATTAGTCACCCTCTTTTGTCGATACTTAGTTTCAAAAACCACAACAAAAGAACATCTTCAGGTTTTATTTATAGACATCAAATCAACATCAGCTATTCAGCTATCTGGGCAGTGTTATTATCAACGTAGCCATTATCATCATGGGCTGAGCGTTCTGAGCAACGATGAGTTCTTAGAGAGGTTGCAAACAAGTAGGAGGCTTATACTTCATATCAGGAAGAGGCAGCTGAAGTTAACTGTAACTAAATACTTCCTGCCGATAGTCGTGACATCGGCCGACTAAACCGTTTTCCCGCAATCTTTTGCGTTTTTTTGTATATGAGGATGGCTAGGCAGTCAGCTACAACACCTGACAAAGAGCGAATGAAACTTCTTATAGGGCCATCTACCACAATCTGGTAGACTGCGTTCCATAGCTACGTGAGCAGTTACTACCGTGATGACACGGCATTCCTTGGCAGAAATCTTTCGAAACTGGAGTCAGCAAGTCAGGGCGGAGAGTTCCCTCGATGAAATCACCGGCTACGTCCTAAGCCTTCAAGTTGGACTACATCGGCTGTGATTTAAACTGCAGAGGGATGGGTTCCGTCAGATTTATAGACTACGCAAGAATGAATTCCATCTCAGTTTTGAATCCAGATATGTGGAATGAACTGCGCAACAACCCTACGACCAAAGCCGATCATCGTATTAATGATGATGGTTTTTCTTTTTATGTGCCATGTCCTTTCAGGATGTAGGCGATCATGACTCTCCACCTCTCTCTATCCCTTGCAGCTCTCAACAACTTCCTTTCCTCTGCTACCTCCCCCAGACCACGTTCTGTCATCAACTTAATAAAGCCCGCCAGGTATATCACGCGTTGCTTTCCCTTGTCTCCCTTTCCATCTATTCGACCTGTGAGTATCAGATTCTCCAGGCTCTCTTTCCTCATTGTGTGTCCCATCAATTTCAACTGCCTCTTACTGATATGAAATATAAGTCTGCTCCTTGTTTGCAACCTCTCTAAGATTTCATCGTTGCTCAAACGTTCGGTCCATGAGGATAATGGTCACGTTGCTAATAACACTGCCCAGATAGCTGAATAGTTGATGTTGATTTTGTTCTTTTGTTGGGGTTTTTGAAATTAAGTATCGAGAAAAGATAGTGACTAATTTTATAATGCTTTTAACTTGTGGAAAATAAGCCATTATCTATTACTCCACTGTACCAACAACCTATATTTACCGAAGGAGGCAGCCCATTTTTGAGAGGATCAAAAATATTAACTATCGTTACAAAAAATAGTATTAATTTTAAAACGCTGTTACTCCTATTCTTAACATTGACTTTGGGTAGAGTATAAAGCCGCGTCAATAAAATCCGTAGATTGACGCATGGGTATTGCTTGAATTTTAAATATGTAATTAAGGTTCACTGTTGTATTAAGTGCATTGACAAAGAAGGAGAACATATTTTGAAAATGTATAACTTTTTTTTTCCATCTTCAGACTGCAGAAATAATTGCACACACACTCTCTCTCTCTCCCCCACACACACACACTCACGCACACAATCACACACACTTACACACACACAATGGCACACACACAATGACTCATTCACACATACAATGACGCACACTCGCACACACACACATATATATAATATTATATATAATATAATATATATATTATATATATAATATAATATATATAATATATATATTTATTATAATATTATATATATATAATATTATATAAAATATAATATATATATATATATATATATATATATATATATATATATATATATATATATATATATATATATTAAGCTATTGTTTTCTATCGAGCACTGATTTTTAAAAAGAAAAAATAATTACTAAGAACACCGGACTGTAAAACTTACTGTTCTTTCTTATTATTTCAATATATATATATATATATATATATATATATATATATATATATATATATATATATATATATATATATATATATATATGGTAAGATATATTTTACATACTAAGAACAATATTGGAGAATTTTTGTGACAAATTGGAAAAAGTTTACTTGTGACGCGTTTCGTCCTTCAGGTCTTCATCGGACTAAATTTGTTATGTTGGTAGGACTAAACATGCACAGAAGAAAGGCGTGCTGGGAATTTTAGAATTTTTTTTTTATCGAACCGAATTCATTCAGAGTCTTTTTCTTTTTTTCCCCATCACTTTTATAAACATCTACTCCACACGGTGATATTAAATGATCTGCCAAGAATGGTGACATATTGGAAGAGTCAGGTCGCAAAATGTCACCATTCCTGGCAGATATTATAATATCACAGTGTGGAATATTTAATTACAAAACTGATGGAACGAAAAAGAAACAACCTCTAAAGGAATTCGCCTAGATTAAAAAAAATCTAGAATTCCCAGCATCTGTCGTGTGCATGTGTAGTCCTACTAACATAACAAATTTAGTCCGATGAAGTCCTAAACTTTTTCCACTTTGTCATACAATTTTCGGATATATATATATATATATATATATATATATATATATATATATATATATAATTCAATATGTTCGTCTATATACGTATAGCGTAACTCAACTATTTTTTTGCAGAGATAGAAATCTGAAAATTTGCCCAGAAAAGAATTTAAAAACCGGATTAAAATTGTGGGTGTGGCTGTTTTGGTTTACGCTCAACTAATCACCTTGTGAATAGCATGGATTTATTGCTCCTTGCGAGCTGCCCTAAATAATGATATCTTGGAAAAAATCTCGTCACTTAAACACCATGATCACTGATGAAGAGCAGAAGACTATCTATCACGGGCTATACTTTCTTTCTTTCTTTCATTCTTTCTTTCTTATCTATCTCTCTCTCTCTCTCTATATATATATATATATATATATATATATATATATATAAATACTGTTCTCTCTCTCTCTCTATATATATATATATATACTTAAATACTGTTCTATTTTCCTTTTTTCTTTCTTTCTTTCTTTGTTAGTAAAATACGTTCTTCTTTCTATTTTCTTTCCATTTTTCCACCTTCCTAAGTGCTGTTCTTTCTTTATTTCCTTCTTTCTTAGTAAAATACTTTCTTCTATTTTCTTTCCATCTTTTTCTTCTTCCGATCTATCTATCTATCTATCTATCTATCTATCTATCTATCTATCTCATTCTGTTTATTGCTCTCTATCTATCTATCTATCTATCTATCTATCTATCTATCTATCTCATTTTGCATATTGCTATCTATCTATCTCATTCTGTTTATTGCTATCTATCTATATATCTATCTCATTCTGTTTATTGCTATGTATGTATGTATATCAAAGTGCTGTTCTTTCTTTTTTCTTTCTTTAATCCATTCTTTCTTTTTTGTCTTTCTTTCTGTCATTCGTTAATTTTTCTTTATGCACGCTGTTGTTCGTTCGTTCTTTATTCTGTCCTTCTTTTCTATCTATCTATCTATCTATCTATCTATCTATCTATCTATCTATCTATCTCTGTTTGTTCATATCTATCTATCTATCTATCTATCTATCTATCTATCTATCTATCTATCTCCGTTTGTTCATATCTATCTATCTATCTCTCTATCTATCTCCGTTTGTTCATATCTATCTATCTATCTATCTATCTATCTTAGTAGAGTGTAACTTCCTTCCTGCCTTCTTTTCATCATATCTATCAGTCTATCTATATCAGTCCTTTCTTGTCTATTACAATCTCTATATCTCCATCTATCTTTAGCTACCTTAGTATTCTTCTCATTTATCTGATATCTTCCTATCTCAGTCGTTTTTCTCTTTTCATATATATATATATATATATATATATATATATATATATATATATATATATATATATGAGTTATGAGCGTGCTAATCGATTATTTTTTGTTATCTATGACAATCTCTTTATATCCATTTATCAGTCTGCCATATCTACTCAAGCAGATCTATATATAGTCAGTCTTTCAATTATTAACGATTAACCTATATAGGTCGATAGTAATCGTAATTGTTTTGACTCTTGTTCAGAAAACGAGTTAGAACGGGAAATCTGATCGTCAAGTATTGAATGATTTGAAGATTTTGAGAAAGACAGGCAGATGGAACCAATGCGAGAAGATTCCAGACAGCAAGAATCGGAGATTGGAAAAGAGAGAGAGAGAGAGAGAGAGATAAGAAAAGAAACAAGAATTGAAAAGGATAAGTTGACATACAAAGAGAAACAATGACAGAGTAAGAAAAACAGGTAAGAAAAGTCAAAAAGAATGTTCGAGTAAAAAATAGCAAAAATATTATGGATGGGCGCCATCGGCAAGAGGAAACGTTTAGCGAGACACCTTGATTGGTTATTGCTAATAAAAAAGCAGTTCGATTCTCACAGGAGTCCATTGCCTGTAGCCTTATACCAAACTTATCTAATCTTAGTGAATAACAATAATATGGAATAAAGCTAATAATAAAATAATAATAGATGATTGTGTTAAAAAAGCAAGATTAATAAGATGGAATAAAACTAATGATAAGATAATAAAAGAGGGTTGAGATGAAAAGCAACAATAATGAAATAGAATATAATTAGAAATAAAACAGTAATAGAGGATTTTGATAAAAAGAAAAAATAATAAGATGGAATAAAACTAGAAATAAAACTGAGTGTTTTGATGAAAATCAACAATATTAAGATAAAATCGAGAGAACTGACTCCTGTCCTCTCTAAACTGTATAATAAATGCCTCGTTGCTTTCTGCGTTTCTGCCTGCTGGAAGTCATTGTCTGTTGTTCCAGTTTTTAAGAACACTGGTGATCCGTCCGAACCTTCCAACTATCGGCCTTCTACCTCATTTTGAGAAACTCTTGGAGGCTCTAATTAATGCTGAGTTGGGTTATCGTCTGTCATCGCTGGATCTTTTCTCAGAGAAATTAATACGGCTTTTGTTTCTCCAGGGTCAGCTGCTGATATACTGACGATATTATGCGGAAAATGTCTATCATGCACAAGATAAAAACGGTGAAGCTGATGCACTGTATATTTCGAAAGCCATTAACAAGCTCTGGCATTCAGGTCTTCTCTACAAGCTGAAAAGTTACGGTGTCTGCGGACACTTTTTTGAACTGATCCAGTCTTTTCTATCAAATCGTGAAATGAACGTTACCCTGAACGGCCACTCGTCTAGATCCTTTCTTACTGACGCGGGTGACCCCCAGGGCTCCATCCCTGGTCCTACACTATATTTAATTTCCATTAATGACCTTCTTGATGACATAAGACATCAACTTGTTATCTATGCTGATGACAACTACATACTCCAGCCTCATTAGTAAGGCTTGTTAGTCTGACAAGGGCAAAATAGCAGCTGGTGTCTAAAACGACATCAAGTCCATAGTTAACTGGAGCGAAAGATGACTTGTTAATTTTAACGCCTCAAAAACTAAACTTCCCTGCATTAATCATCTGAGAGACCCCTTGCTGCCTTCCATCAGCATAGATGATGCTATCCTACAGGAAACTGACTTGTGCATTCTCAGGCTCACGTTATCAGCTGACATGAAATTGAAAGACTATATTGAATCCATTACTGGATCAGCTGCTAAGAAAGTCCGTTCACAATGTCGGGTGAGATCATTTTTCTCTCCAGAATTTATCTGAAATATCTATAAGTCTATCATTCATTCATACTGTCTTAGAATATTGCTGTCACATATGGTCCAGTGCGCCTGCTATTTACCTTGAGCTCCTTGATAAGATCCAAATAAGAATCTGCAATATTGTTGATCTTGATCTGGCGGCTCAGGTTCACTGAGTAACATTTACAATAACGTAAGTGAAAATGATTGTAAAATAATTAATAAAAATAAAGGTTGTTAGTAATGGTGGCCACTGACATTCAAATTGTTCCTGATTTCCAAAACATTCTGTTGTAAAAATCACGTATTATATATACATATAAAAATTATGCTGAAAGCTCTGGAATGTCGTTTCGTCCTATTTTGGGACTGTGTCAGCAGTGCGCAACCACTTCCGAGAATCGAACCCAGACCGTTACTATAGGACGCAAACGTCATGACGTAAGAAACTAGATTGGAATAAACGGCCGTCCAGTGCTTTCTGCATACTGGTGAGATTCGTCTAGACTCGATGAATTACTTGATTTTGATTATTCAAATCCCCCTAATACTTTCTCTATATATACTTCCTTATTTGAACCGGCTTCGAATGCTTTCTAATGGATGGAGCAGCTTTGGAGATAAAAGATGTGACTCATGGGGGTACAGTCCGTTAGTATAAGTAGTCTTGGATGAGTCACACAACGGAATGTATGAAAAACAAGTGCTCTATCGAGTCTAGTCTGTTATCTCTTCGTCACCGAGAATCGGATCAGCAAAATATAAATGTCCATTAATTGGAGCTTGTAAACCAGAAGCTATAATTTAGAAAGCAGAAGTAACAGATATTAATAAATGAACAGAATGTACATTCAAATGTAAATGATATAATCGGAGGTCGTCATTTAAGTTAGCAAATCTTAGATACTCTACCAAACTAGTTAACCATGTGTGAAATTTAAAAGAAAAGAAAAGAAAAAAGAAAAAACCAACAGGGACCCGATTGTAAGGTGGAAACTTGTATAAAAGGCAAAACAACAACCACAACAATATATGCAACCTCTGCCAACAGGGAAAATTAGCAATTTCCGGATCCAATCAACATTTGCACCAGAAATCCGAAGGCTTGAGTCCTGCCTTACATATTAGAAAATTCCTCTTAAGCAAATATAAGGCTGGTTTGTTTTGGTTTGTTTTGTTTTAAAGCATATCAACCTCAATGGGTCATTAATGCCGACAACTTTTTTTTTTCCTGGTAATATTTTTGTTTTGTCAAAAATCCATTCTGATAATATTTTTTTCTCGAAAACGTATAGCTGGTAATATTATCTATTTTTTTTTTCAAAAACGTACAGCTGGCAACATTATTTTTTCAATAACGTATTATCAGAGGTCTTGCCGTTGGACGTAGTTTATCGTCGTACCCAGGACGTCGATGTAGTAGATAGTCATACCCAAGATGCGAATGTAATCTGAGTGTTAACTATTTGCCCATAGCTTGAACCCTAACAGGTGCTACCACCACGGGTCAGGGTGGATCTGGTAACACCAGCAATTAAGAGGTGATTCCATGCTCCTCAAAACCTCCTGATTAGAGGCCTTGCTGTTGGACGTAGTTTATCGTCATACCCAGGACAGAATATAATGCTGGATAAAAAAAAAGTAATAGAAAGTATTTCAATTACCCACACACCGATACATTTACATAACCTATAACATATCTTCTTCTTCTTCTTCTTCTTCTTCTTCTTCTTCTTCTCATCCTTCTCCCCCCTTTACATTACACCCAACGTCGTGTGTTTATCTATTTTTGAAAATAATAATAGAGCGTTCATTAGCTTTTTTTAAAAAAGTAAAGCGTTAAGAGGTCACTTGATAAAAATCGCCTGAGGAGACCGTAAGGTTGAAACCAAGGTAGCGGATTCAACTGACCTCCTGATTTTTAAAGTTATATATATATATATATATATATATATATATATATATATATATAAGTTCTGGCATACTGCTGAGCAACCACTATGAATATTTTCAAACGTGAAAATACACGCAATCTTCAATAAGTTGATAAATTTATTCAATGACACGGGCAATTTATATCTGCCCCCTCGGCTAGCTCAAGATGTTTCATTGAAGGGATCTGCTGGCGTATTCGTAACATGCAAACACCAAATTGGGGGGAAATTACTTGTACGGCTAAAGAACAAAATAATGTGCTCAGTGGAACGTGAAGAATTCGACAATGCCGGCTATATATATATATATATATATATATATATATATATATATATATATATATATGTAGCCGGCATTGTCGAAGACGGCAACGGAGCGTTACGCTAGAAGCAGAATGTCTTCGACAATGCCGGCTATATATATATATATATATATATATATGTATGGTCGGGGTCCCTGCTATTTACCTTGAGCTCCTTGATAAGATCCAGATATACATAGCCGGCATTGTAGAAGACATTCTGCTTCTAGCGTAACGCTCCATTGCCTTCTTCGACAATGCCGGCTACACACACACACACACACAGACACACACACACATATATATATATATATATATATATATATATATATATATATATATATATATATATACAGGCGTTGTCTAAAACATTCTGCTTCTAGCGTAATGCTACATTGCCGTGGTGGATTTCTTCACGTACCACTGAACACATATATATATATATATATATATATATATATATATATATATATATATATATATATATATATATATATATATACCGGTTCAAATAATGATGTATATATAGAGAAATTCTTAGGGGATTTCAATAATTATAATGAGTAATTCATCGAGACTAGACGAATCTTCACTAGTATGCAGAAAACGCTGGACGGCCGTTTATTCGAGTCTAGTTTATTACCACTTTGTCACCGAAACCTATTGGCTAAGTAGGTATGACGTTTGCGTCCTGTCCTAACCATCTGGGTTTGATTCTCGGAACTGGATGCGCACTCCTGGCAACTCCCAAAATAGGACGAAACGACCTTCAAG